CTCGCGCGTTTGCCAAACCTCGACGGCTCATATTTTTCGTTCTGCCTTCTTTCCCTGTTTTGCCCCCCCCCCCCAGTGAAAATTCCTTAAAAAAGGCACTGAATTTACATGGGCTGTAAATGCTACTGTTGTCCATGCGACTAATTGACGCAATGGGCAATCGAGGTCTTTTTATGTGTTTTCGTTGTCACATAGACGTTTGTGAGTTTTAATGAAAGCAAGTCTTTGGAAATATTAATAAGTAGAATGAATGAATGTGTAATCTAAGTATCTTATCACAGGTTCTCCGACATTGGGCGAGATATTTAACCCAGCTCGAGATTGTAGTGATATTGTTGATCAATTACCCGAAGCTGAGGATGGATTTTACTGGATTGTTCTGCCCAAAGGAACGAAACACAAGGTATGTGTTTGGATTATGACATGTCCACCAATAGCCTTCTCGCGCCGTGGGACGCCTTTCCACCAGTTAATAAAAGAGATGTAAACTAAGGTTATTGACCGTGCGCAATGATTCGGGAAAATGTGCAGATACGTTTGGTCAACCTCGCAAGCCAGGCTCTCTACTTCCGCTTCGTGTTAGGGAGGGAAGCGGAAGTAGACAGCCTGGTTTGCAAGGTTGGCGTTTGGTAAACTTTATCTTTGGCCCTTTCCTTACATTCCTAACATTAACCAAAAATTAAATTATAAAAAGTAATAGCATTTGTTATATAAAGAAAAGTTAGACTTTGTCATCTAGGTGTGTGCTAAATTTCAAGAGAAGCAAGCTTAAATATTGTGATTCTATAGCAGGCAGGCTCTTGCGGCTTATATGAAATCTGGAGAAAAACCTCAAAGCACAGCCGAGAATCAGCCGCACTTCTTCTTACACAAGTTTTAAAAATGCAGTGTGGGTGACTACCCTGCACCAACATAATGTAGCCCTGACACAGTACTATTGTTTAAAAGTACTGTTAACCACAATAAATCCTTTGCCTGTTGTCATAATACTCATACGTCGGTATACTCATGAGCATGCTAATATAGCTACAAAAATCCGCTATGCTCATGAACATGCTCATATACATACCAAAACCTGGTATGCTCATCAACATGCTCATATACAATTAATCATGCTCATATACAACTAATTAGATCCAGTGAGCTCTATATGGAGTAATAGCGGTCACAGAACTGAGAAGTTTTGGAGAAGAAAAATAACATATTCCTGAAGCGTAATAAAACACAGTGCAGCACAACAAATTGACGTCCAGTTCCAGTCCTTCTCCATTGTTCTGGACCTTCGACTTAGCGAAAGCGGTCGCAGAATTATGAAAAATATTGGAGAAGGAAAATAACATGTTCCTGAAACTTAACAAGCCTTTAAGAAAATATAAGTAATTCACATATGCAACACAATAATTAAGTTCACATATATAGCGTAATAATTAGTTGGGAGTAAAGAATTTAAGTTGTCATTTCCTTGGGCAAAATAGATTTGGTGTGACGTACATACAGATGGTGGTGGATTTGCGTTGGTGGGAATGAAGGATAGTCCTGTATCTTGGACAGTACCATCTAATTCTACCCCTGTTGATCCTCAAGGACCCCCACATTGGTCCAGTGATCTTGGTGATGTCAAAGTTCTGGACTTTAGAGTTCAATTTTCAACTGATAAAGATTTTGAAGGAACAAAGGCAGACTGGTAAGAAAGCTCTGGTGAGAAGCAAAGGGTGACCAGTAGCGGCAGTCGAACAACAAAAAAATAAGAAAATTCCGACAAGCATATCAAACAATACACGAAATGTAACCAATAGAACGAACCATAAATAACTGGCGTGTAGCTGCAGAGGCCATAGGGTACACTCCTGCTCGTTTTCCTAAAAATGCTTGGGATTATACTCCCTTTCAAGACAAAATAATAAAAGGTATGCGTTTGCCTGCACTTCTAAATTCGATTTGTTCTCCACCCCTCGTACCTGGAAAGACCTGAAGGATCGGAAACTATCGGGTGCTGTGCCTGTGAAAATTTAAAGTGTGATTAACAAAAGTATAAAAATCCTTTTTCACTGTAGGTTTTACCGATTAAATCCGCAACGGGAGTTCGGAGATATCTTTTCTGTGAACAAAGGATGTCCTGATCTGCAAGCGGGAATTGGAAACATCGAGTTTGTTAAGGATCTCTCGACTCGATCTGTCGTTACCAATAACTTCAAGTGCTCAAAGTTTGGACCACATTTTCATCATATGTTGGGATGGGTAAACAATTGATTTTCTAAAACAACTAATAGTCTAGATCTATAATATTGTACAGAAATCCCTTAAGAAAATTTTGGTATTTCTAATGTATTTATATCTACAACTTCCTATTGATTCCCATTCAACTTTTTTATGCTTTCTAGACCCACTTCATTGTGAAAAATAGTTATTGGCATTCTCATTTTAGGGAAAAATGAACTACTGTCTTCGACATCAGTGCAATAACGGTTACGCAGTATTAGATGTAGTTAAATTTCGATACGATAATTTTGGAGCATACAGGTATTGAACCATGGAGTTTTGATTTTCGTCAATACGTACATAGTGTTAAACACATAAATGTGAAAATACGATTCAATTTGATATTACTGTACGATTCAATTTGATATTACCTATAAATGATCTACAAGAAAATAACATTTTAACTGTTTTCATTTTTCATAGACGTTCGTTAGGCCTACTTCTTATTGACTGAAATTGTAATTTTCTTCAGCTATAGCGCTATTTCTTCATTCTCTGGAATGAATCATAATTCCACAGTGTTTGTTGGATGTGATCGCGGCCAGGTAGTTCTTTGCTATATGACAAATAATGTTATTACTATAAAACAACGTTCACAATAATTTGATTATGACCAATGTATACTATAGTCTCAAATTTTAATTATGTGGAATACATCTAGAGAAAATTTGCATTTCTCCATATTTTGTAGTGCTGTGCATGTTTTGGACCTAAAGGTGGAAGACAAAACTACTGTGGATCTAACTGTACAGTAATTAACGGTGGAACTGTAACGAAAAAAGCTTTCGTTTGGTTTTGGGTGCGAACCAGAATACCTGAACGTCTGTGGAACAGATGTATGGAGTTTGTGGTGAAAAACTCCGCGGGAAAACTTGAAAAACATTTCATTGATCCACAAACAGGCACTGCACAAAAGGTGGGGACATTAAGTTAAGAAGACACTATTGTGATTAATGGAAACAGGCACAATGCCACCAGAAGCAGCAGCAGCAGCAACAGCAGCAGCAGCAGCAGCAGCAGCAGCAGCAACAGCAACAGCAACAGCAACAGCAACAGCAACAGCAACAACAACAACAACAACAACAACAACAACAACAACAACAACAGAAATAATACCAACAACCGCAAAAACGACGATAATGACAACAACAGCTGTGTCAGTAACAGCAATGTTCACAGAAATAGGAAAATCATCAACAAAAATAGCAATAACGACAATTACAAACTAAATTTAACCAGCAGTTTGGTTTGTTTTTAGGGTTCCTGCTCAGGAAAATTTAGATCATTTTTAAACGAAGGTGTAAGTAGAATATTTCAGGCAAAGATTTATATCACCGACAGCAGTTATTCTGAACTTCTAACCCATTTTCTCAGACGGACTTCTGACGCCCGACCTCTGCTCAAGAATCGGATATTTTTAATTGATGTTATAGTAGAGTACTTAATTTGAAAGAAAGCATTTCTTTACTTTATTTTATTTTATTTTATTTTATTCTAGACATTGACAGTATCTGACAAGGAAAGTTTTGACAAGATTCCAGATGTTCCAGGTCTTCTCTCATATCGTGCGGATGATAAACAACTTTATTTCAATCAAGGATCAAAGTGGCAAGCATTAAGTACTGAACAAGAGGTTAGTTTAAATGGGAATATAACATTGCTTGCACTGTTGAACTACATCATTACATTATGTAGCTGAAATTAATGAGTCAGTTTAGAATATACTATATGAGTATGACACACAATGCAGTATACACCGAATACACGCGGATACTTTTAGCTTACAATTTTAAGACGTATTTAGCTGAAGAAACCGGAGGCGAGCTGATTTCAACATATTTTCAACGTAAATTCATGTAAAAAAAGCCTTTGTCGCTAAAAAAGAAAGGTTTATTTCCTTTCCTATAAAGTATTCTGTATAAAAAAACACATGCGTATCGTGTCTGAATGTAGCACGGTTATTAAAGACAACGACACAATTACTCCTAGTCAAATTCAATATGGCGGATTTACATGATTCGTACTTTTAAGTAGGCATTCGATATTTAGTATATACACACGCATCGCTGAAGATTAAATCTATTGTAGTTTGAGCAAACCAAGAAACAAATCCAAAGTCAAGAAAAGAAAATTCAAAGTCTAGAAAATAAAGCCAACATTCAAGAAAAGAAACTTCAAAATCAAGAAAAGAAAATTCAAAATCAAAAAAACAAAACTAACATTCAACAAAAGAAAATTCGAAATCAAGACAACATAATTCTAATTCAAGGAAAGAAAATTCAAGGTCAAGATAATAAAATCAACATTCAAGAAAACAAACTTCAAAGTCAAGAAAAGAAAATCAAAAGTCAAGGAAATATGATTAGAAAGCTAGAAAAACAAAATCAAGGTAACAAAATAAAAGGATAACATAAATGGTTAAGGTTATAGAAAATCAAACGTCCTAAAAGAAAAGTTAAATATAAATATCTCGTTTGCAACAATTTTTAAAATAATTAAAATTGAATTAGTTACGGTAAGGTTTTTAAATTTTATAGCATGCAGTGGTGAAAATATTTGTTATTATACTAATGACACCGGAAGGTAAAGTATAAAGATTTCAAAACAAAAACGAAAAATTGTTGTTTCATAAATATTATGAACCGCGCTAATATGTCACATGTACATTCTCCAGCTTGTTCAATATTACGAAAAAAACATCCATCATCAACTAGCAGAATGTATAATTTAAATCCAGAGGGATTCAGTTCGATACATCAACTTTTTTCAAAGCTCCACGGCACCACTACATCTTCCCTGATGGAGCCAGAAGAGTATTAAGCTTGCGTGTCTCAGGAATTATTTTTGTTGCTGGACCGCTGAAGAATTTGGAGGAGAACCCCAACTCGTCAGTTTCTAATCTAAGGGACCGCTCATTA